TTTTTTTTTTTTTTTATACTTCACTCCTCTCGTCGCGCCGAGTTTATCCGTGCGGTGCATGTGTGCGACAGTTGTATACGTGAGTGTTTGTGTGGTGCGTGTTCGTGCGCGCGCGTCGTCTTGCACCCATATGTATAGGTGTATACATATACACGATGTATAATACATAATACATATATGTATATAAATAATAATAGTTTATATACATAGAGTGAGATACGTGTATGGTGCGCGGCGGTGTATATTTATTATTTTAATAATAATAATAATATACGTACCGCACGTTTATACGCTTTATACCTATTATGCGATAGTGTTCGAAACGTAAACGGAATTAATTGCCGGCCGATGTCAGCGTAGGCAGAATTGCGAGTGTCAGCTACAGCAACAGCAGCAGCATACTCCAGTGATCGGCCACTGTTGAAAGAAGAATCGAATCGTCCGTCATAATTTCCGTGAGTGGTGTAAATGTAAAAAATACGATCGACCGAACGGGAGGTTCTTTTTACACCTACCTACGACTCCACGCATCCGACTGTGGCGTAGACATTTGATTTTTGTTTTTTTTTTCGTTCTGTCTCATGATATGATGTCGCTCGATCTGTCCGAGTTTTCACTTCGATAGACTCGATTTAAAAATAAATAATCGAATCATACCTACTTAATTTTATAGTAATTTTTAATAATAACAATTAATAATAATATGCATTTATCTGCTCAGTTTAACAATAATTATTGTGTCGTGAAATATTGTGGATAGGTATGTGTTGTTTTTCGTCTGCTGATTTCGAGTTTAATTTTTTGGTTAATTTTTTATTTTTTCGTTTTCAGAATTTTACGCCACAGTCATCGCTGTGATGCATTCAATATTCTGAGTTCGATCTATCAGCAATGAGCCACAACATGGGTGGTATGGCCCCTTACGTCACGTAAGTCACTCTTTGTTCCTGGATTCATTGATTGTTGTCTGTCTCTGTACATTCTTGTTACAGTCATGTGTCTTTGTTTCATATAGGTTACCGAGAGGCCGTAATCAGATGGCGTACTACAATCAATGTCAAGACATGCCACCTCATATGCAGAGAGGCCACTGCTATCCAGACGATTTTAATAAAATGGGTGGACCCTGCTCGTATGTATTGTTTTTTATTTATCTCATTAAACAATTAGAAATCATGTTTTGTGATTTATACCTAATTCATAAAATTAGGTATTACCTACCTTAATAAGTAATATTGAAAATACCCCATAAAAGTAATAAAGGTACTTAATAATCAAAATATATATTATATATCATTGATGTCACTTAAAATTAACAAATAAACAAATTTTTCTAATCACCTACTTTTTTTGATTAACTAATCCTTATTCACTCTTTTTTAAAACAGTTTAAAATTGTTCAACTATTAATCAGGTAATTACCATATTGTACTCCAGCCTTTTTTTATTATTCTATTAATTATGTTTGTATCATCTATTTTTTCTATTTTTGCTCTAAAATTAAAGAAACTATTAATTCATATGATTTAATAGTGGTACCTTTGCTATATTTTGAATTTTGAGATAAACGTTATAACTTATTGTTAATAACGATATAATATTACTATCAATAATAGGTAATGTGATGTTCTTATGATTATTTATGAGTAAATGCAATGATAATTTTTTTAAATATAAATTCAAGTATTTTTTATTAAATTTTGTCGTGATTTTTGTTTTTTTAGTAGGTACTTTGGAAAAATAGATACCTACTTACTAATTTTTAGGTATCATTAGTCATTACTGTATTATTTTTTTCTTCATTATTTTATTATTATTATTTATAAAGTTTTCCTGACAAAGTCATCTAAACTTAGGTATAATGTACAAAATTTTTAGCTATTTATAAAAACAATATTAACATAATATGTAGTAAATAAATAAGTTAACACCTCGGTTAACACATTAGCGATATACATTAATAGATTTAAGATAGTGTTACAAGCAATGAACGATATACCATAGAATTTTCATTGAAGATAATCTAATTTAGAATGTCATAAGGACGACCACTTTCTTCATTATTGATGACAGGTATTAAAAATAACAATTTGTTGTGAGACTGTGTGAAATTTATAATATCTAAATTAAAATATTAATGAAATGTTAATAAAAGCATTTCAAACCTTAAATTAAAAAGTTGAAAAATAATCTTTGAATGTTAAACTTAACATTTTGGTTACTAGACTGATAAATAAAAAGAAGTATGTAATACAAATTGTTCTATCGTGTGTTGTTATTTTTAAATTTTTTTTTTTAGCTAGGTATTGGTATAACAATTGTTTGTATAGCAAACAAATTTAAGATAAAATTATTGTAATTATTCATTGATGTTTTATAAAACTCGATTTAATTTAACCTAACCGCCAACGCTAACTTAACTCAAGTGATTAACAATTCTAACATAATTTTTAACATAAAATATCAACTATGCTTATTTTATTAAAAATGTACAGATTATAATAGTTCACAAAAAAAAAAAAATTATTAAAATTTGTTTAGTTGATAAATTAAGAAATTATTGAATAAGAATTGGAAACTTTTTTTGGCCACTAATATAAAATGTTTTTAAGCCTTTAAGAAAACTGGTTCAACATTTTATTTTTTTTCAAGTATTATGTTTTTATGTATAATTGAGTGCCTCAAATCGTTATAAGTTAAGATAAATGAAATTTCATTTGGTACTGAATAATACATTAAAAGCTAGTACCTTGTGATCAATAATGAGGACTTCAATGTCTTATTTCTAATAAAATAAATTGTATGTATAACTTTTATTAATTTTAAGTATCTTTTTCTTAAATAAATATTTGAACAATTTGTTAAATTTATAATTTGTGTTTATCTATTTCAATTTTATAGGATGTTGCCTATGGGCAATGAGTTTAAATCACCAATGATGACTCCAGATCCACCTCCACCACCCCCAGCTAAGAAAAAGCGACGTACTTCTAATGCTGCTACTGTGACTAATCATGCACCTCAACCACCGCCTCCATCACCTCAAGATTTACTTCCACCACCTTTAACTGGTAAAATCTAATAAATATACTATTTATACTTAAGCGAGAGTTACAATATTTGTTTTCCCCAATATCAGATATTTATTATGCTGGTCTTCAACTAATGAACCAAAACAATATTTTATTCAGTAAGGGTATTTTTTTTTATGGATGTTTGGAGAATAATATACATACAGATACTAAACATGGAACATAAAATGGGAATAATATGTAAGGATTAGTAGTGTATACAGTATACACCTGTAATAAACCTAATAATATGCTCATTAGAATACAGTAGCGTGGTAAACTAAAAATATTCCAGAGGCAACCCCCCATATAGATGACCCACCCCACATGTATTTGCATGAAAATAGTACAATCCTTGATACCCACCCCCCAATATTTGAAAAATCCCAGAGGCAATTGCCTCTGAAATTACTCTTTGCCACGCCACTGTTAGAATATATTCCTATTAAAACCTAAACCTTAATGTACTCGATGTCAGCAATTTTAGCCCTAAATTCAATTTAATGTCAAATTGTGTATTCATTTAAAATATGTAAATATACATAATTATTTTATCATTTTTGATAATTATTTAGTTTTTATTATAGGTAGTCTMAGATTCATTATCTTAAAACTCATTTCATAAAATAAATCTTGTTAAATCCAATAAAAAATTTAGAATAGTATAAATACTAATAGCTCCCTAAAATTCATATTGAATATTAAAGAAAAGTATTATATTGCTTCAAATATTTAAAGGTTTTTATTGCATTTTATGTTTATAAATAATAAACCAAATAAGCTGTTTCCAGGTGCTATACGCTTAAAAACTATTTAATACAAGCTCAATATAAAAACATTACTATAAATCATTTTTTTTTTTATATTTAGTATATTATTACTACTCCAAACATATTACAACATTTTTAAAAATCTTCTGAGAAATTTAATGAATTATTTTTTTTAGCTAAAACTGTTGCTTAATTTATAATTAATATCTCCAGTGGTTGACTTAGAAATAAAGTAGTAGAGGTATTCTAGCTACTTTTAAAATGTAGCGTCCCTAGCATTTTAATAAAACTTACATAATCATGGCGGTGGAGAGTTAAAAGTTTACATAACAATCCGTCCCATGCGTTCCCCTTTAAAAAAGAAGTAGGGGTACACTAGCGTATCCAAAAAATTAGTGAGGTACTCAGTTCCCCCCSKKSCCCCCCCAAGTCAACTACTGAATATCTATAAATACCTATTTACATACAATTATTTTATTTCATTTATGATAAAATAAACATTTATAATATACTAAATATACCTATGTTAATACTGAATAACATTTTTGATTCAAGACATTAGACTGCTAACACATAAATATAGTAGGATAGAATGTTCATGAATAGTTTATAACAAATCCAAGACTTTAGGGCTTTTAAAAAATTAAAGAATTGTATTCATAATTATTTTTTTTAATGTTACAATTATATTTTATTATTTTTTCTCAAATTACTTCCATTGTGCATGTGTGGATCAGCTTTCTTTTACAAAGATCTCAACATTTTGCTAGGTATTTTAGAAGAAGCCTTAAAAATCACTTTTTTCAAAATTCTGTTCAATCTACTTTCTTTCTTAAATGTTGGAACTTTAAAAATGTTAATTAAATAAGTTTTAAAAAAAAGATTCATTTACACGCACATATTTTACATAGTTTAGTAGGTCACGAACAATTGTTAACTAAATGTACTTTGTAGTTATAATACAAACAAACATCTAACTTTATCTAATTTGTCAAGAACATGGTGATAAGCTTACATGTGATTAGATATGACACAATTATGATATAGCATAATTATTATACTGTATGAAAACCTTTTTTGACTGGACAATAATGTAACAAATATTATATTTTGCTATTACATTCTTATAATGATAAATACAGCTTAGATTGCTGTACATAATTAATGAAAAAAAATCTCCATGCAATATAA